TGACGTCCTTGGCATTGTTGGTGTTTCTGACCATGATGTGCTTCTCCTTGATGTCATGTCAACCGTATGTCCCATTCCATCATTCTTTATCGTAGTGAACAAGTACCTGCCACTAACTTCTCACAAATCGTAAAGATGACTTGCTGATACGGCTTTTCAAATTCTTTGAAGGAAATGGCGCTATGCCGCACCAGGATTCAATTTTTGGATATTTTGAAATCCTCATCTAAAAATGCACAAAGTTTAATCTCGTTTAGCTGTTTGTTTGCCTACAAAACAAAACAATCTTATTCGCAAAATATAATACACAATTTCATTCTCTTTTTTCAATTAACTCTCACGAGGTTTTTGAACGAAAACAAGCAAGATTCGTAATACACAATGGTAGGAAGACTAACAAAACAAGAAAAATGAGATGAAAAGTCTACAAAGAGGTAGACAAACACTAGGGCATTAGGGTATATCAACAGAGAACATTCAACAAATAACAATAGAACTACTCCTTGAATCAGCAACTGCTTCCTTCCTGCACAGAGATAGTGGCTAACAAAGCTTTTCGTAGCACGGGGTAAAGCTTCATTGATTTCTCAGTTGCAAAGGTAATTAATTCTTCCACATCTGGACTTGTGAGATTTCCTCCGCGTATGTCACAGCAGACTATCTAAAATAATGAATACTTAACGTTTGCGGGAGGGAAAAAAGACTACATGATGGATATAGTACTGAAACTGGACTAACCTGGTTTTGATTCGGCATCAGGGCTAGAGTGCATTCAGAGTATCCGTCAACAATCTGACTCTTTCGTGGATCCACAATGAAATCTCCAGATGATGTGCGGGCTATGTGTGCAGCGACTATCACATCCAACATCTAATCATAAAAGTAATTAACATTACAGAATGGAAACTTCCAGAATTATGACGCCATTACATCTGGAGGAAAAAAGGAAGAATGCACAAATTTACGAAATGATCCCTGGACACTTCTCTTTACACTCTTTTATGCATTCTTAGTAAGTATAGGCAAAATCATAATTAAAGAAACTTTTTCGCCG